TTTCTTCTTCAAAAGCGGATCTATTATGTCTCACTGCTGCGTAAAACGAGAAGAATTCAGAGTATTCACTCGTGCCAACGTTTGCTTGGTTTTCTATATATGACCCATCAGTGAAGACTTGGAGCCATTGATGAGAAGAGTTCAGAATAGACACCTGCACCAACGTTTCCTTGGCTTTCCTATGACCCATCAGGACTTGGAGCCATTGATCTCCAGGATAGTTGACGTTGATTGCTGGAGCCATTGATCTGCAGGATAGTTGACATTGATTGTCTAGTGATTTCCTGAAAAATGAGCGCATTTGCTCTGGAGGAGTGTTTGATTTCCTGAAGACTGAGGGGAGCGCATTTGCTCTGGAGGAGTGTTTGATTTCCTGAAGACGGAGCGCATTTGCTCTGGAGGGGTGTTTGATTTCCTGAAGACGTCGAGGCATTTGCTCTGGAGTGGTGTTTGATTTCCTGAAGAAGTCACGCAATGGGTGCGACACACTACATCAATGCCTGCTAATGGGTTCATGGGTAGAGAGAGGCTTTTTTTCGTTTGTCGTCGATTTGTAATGCTTGTGTATTAAACCAGATTGCGTTTTCAGATGTCTTGGTCTATAAAGGAATTCTTTCTTCAGTTCTATGGCTTTCTGTATTAGACACATGGGAAGAGGGAGGCTTTTTGGTTTGTCATTGATTTGTGATCTTTTCTTCAATTTTATGGCTTTCTGTATTAGACCAGATTGCATTTTCAGGGTCTTGGTCTATTCTCATAGGTACTGAAGAACTTGTCCATATCTTGGTCTATTCTCATAGGTGCTGAAGAACTTGTCCATGGGAATGCACAGTAGCTTCTCATACAAGATAATGGCCTTCTCTTTGATAAGAGAACATATTGTAATGCTTCCTGTAACTAGGAGCATGCATCAATGAGTTTTGATTTTATCCCTCGAGTAATTAGTCGTAATGATTGGTTGTGTGCCTTCTCGAGTGGTTTGAGTCACCTCTGTGGCTGTAATGAGTGGCTCAGAACAATAACTCTGTGGCTGTAGTGGCTCACAGCAATACAACATTATTAGCTGAATAAACATTTTGTAATTGGTGATGAGAGGTGAGCGTGCACAACCCCATACGCTACCAGCAGGACGATTCAGTACATTCATTCTATTAAAGATTCGTTCTGCTATTTTAGTAATGTGACTTTTCCACGTCAGCTTTGTGTCAAAATTCATTCCGAGATATGTGGACTCATTGGTTTTTTCTAGGGTAGTATCCTTGTACCTTAGAAGTGGGTTTATGCTGTGATGGGCCAAAGAAAAAGTTTGGAATGTAGTTTTCGCGGTGTTGATTACCATTCCATTGTTGTCACACCAGTTTGCTAGTAGTTTAAGTGCACCATTTAGGACACTTTCTGTTCTCTCCTGAGCGTTTTTCTTAGGGGCGGAATACCATAGAACAAGATCATCTGCATAAAGTAAGCACTTGATGCCCGTAACTCTCTGTGCTAATTCGGCTATGTCATCGATGAAGACATTTAAAAGAGTGCAGCTTGTGACAGGTCCCTGTGGAAGGCCTGTTTCTAAAAGATTGGATTTTGATAGAGGGTTCCCATATCTGACTTTACATGATCTTTGTCCAATGAATGCTTTTATCCAGTTTAGCATGTTATGCCTAATACAAATCTTTGCCAATTTTAGAATTAGCTCCTCTTTCCATACTAAGTCATATGCTGATTTGAAATCGACGAAAACATCCGTAAGAGCATTTCGCGCATCAAGGGCATCTTTGATGTGTTGGAAAAAAGTGGTTACTTATTGGTTCGTTGATCTTTGTGGCCTAAAACCTGCTTGTTCACTCCTAAGAATATTGTTATTCTCAAGAAACCAGGTCAGCCTCCTGTTAACCAATCTTTCCATAAGTTTAGCCAGCACACTTGTGAGGGAGATGGACCTATAGTTGTCAAAGTTGCTAGGGTCTTTGCCCATTTTTAGTACTGGTAATACGATGGCAACTTTCCATTGGTTAGGTTCGAGACTGGTCTCCCAGATTTTGTTGAAAAGTGTCAGCATGATTTCCTTGGCTTTTGGTCCCTTTCTAATTAGAAATTCCGGATGAATACCGTCTTCGCCAGCAGACTTTTTTGCACTTTAGCTGTTTAATCGCAGCATTTAGTTCACAAGGTCTGAATGGTTCAGTAAGTACGTTATTTGGTGTTGTCGGCAAGGTCTGAATGGTTCAGTAAGTACATTATTTGGTATTACCGTGTCCTCCTTAATTTCACCAAACTGTCTTACTTGTGTCTTTAAATCTTTTGAAGATTTTCTGACAAAAGGGTTTTTCTTTTGCTTGTGCCAAACTGTCTTACTTGTTTCTTTATATCTCTTGAAGAGTCAACAAGGGTTTTTCTTTTGCTTGTGGGAATAGAATCTCGCAAAGGTTTCTTTTGCTTGTGGGAATAGAACTTCGCAAAGCAGTTAACTGTTCGGAGTCGGTGGTAAGCAGTTTGTTTTTTAAACGTATTTGTTATGGGAATAGAACCTCGCAAAGCAGTTAGCTATTTCGGAGTCGGTGGTAAGCAGTTTGTTTTTTAATCGTATTGGTTCTTTCATGGGTCTTTCCTTGTTGCTTTGGAGATTACCCAGGAATTTGAAAGTGTATTGGCTATCACTTTGATAGTTGATATTTGAGATGAAGTTGTCGAAGGAAGTCCGTTTAGCTTGTAAGATGGCTTGCCTTAGGACAGCTGATTGTCGTCTCCAGGCTTGTACGTCTTTCGTTCTTCCAGTCTGATCAGCAGTGTTGCGAAGGGCGTCCCAATTTCTTTTCAGTTCCTCAAGGTGTTTAGACCAAACACTCGATGGTGTTTAGTCTTGCCTCTGGGAATAGTTTTCTTTGCAGATCGGATCATAATATTCGTGATATCAGTGCGAAGTTTGTCAGGATGTTGGTTGAAGTTGAGGGAACTTGTGTGAAGTTCATTGTCTAAAAGGTTAATGAATCTAGACCAGTCAGCCTTCTTGAAGTTCCATGATAGCTTAGTTGGCACTTTCCTTGTCATGCTTTTGCTTCCGATGTTAATACTAGCAATGACTGGTTTGTGACCAGAACCAGGATCGTCAATTATTTTGCGACGTGTATGCTCACTGATGTCGCTTGAAACCAGGAGTAAGTCAGGAGTTGTTCTGGTTCCATTGTAGTGCAAATATGTAGCCGAATCCTCATTGCTGTAAATAAGTTCCAGAGGGTTGCTGTTTAGCATGTCTTCAATTTCCTTTCCAGCTATGTTTGTATCCTTGTAGCCCCATCTGGTGGAATGGGCGTTGAAGTCTCCTAAAACTACAGTTTTGTGTGAGATGTTCAGAAAGTCAAAGTTGGGACAATTCTGGAGTGGATTATAGACTGCATATATCTTGAAGTGGTTTTGCCATTTCCAAACATTTAATCTGATTATTTCTTGTGTCGAGTATATACTCTTGATTAGATCGTAGTGTGAGGTGAGGCCTCCTTTAACTCCAGTCAGAATTCCACTTGCAACTTGCCGGTATTTAGGTAGAAGGTACAGGGTGTAACCTGGAAATTGGTAGTACTTCAGTTTGTCATCCGAAATGTTTGCTTCCATAATTGTGAAAATGTCCACATCCTAGATTTGTAGGATTTTCTGGACTTGGATCTTTTTGACCTGTGACATCCCTCCAGCATTCCACTGAATGATCTGAAGACGTTGTGATTCGCCATGGGGAGGGCGATTTCCCATATAGCCTTGTTTCAAGCTAATCATAATAAATAGAAGTCAAATCATATACCGAGTGATTGACTTTTTGCTGTACGAAGATACGTTCTCCAGGGTGCACCAAGTGGAGGTAAGTCTATCGCTCACCCCATGATGAATATCGTAAAGCGTGCTATTTGAAATAATAAATAAGTAAAAGTAAACGAAAAATTAATCATTTTAACATATTTCCTATGTGAAGAATAATATACCAAGTGATGCTAATGCGAGGTCAGAAAAAGTGGGAATGAGATTACGGACAAGACAAGTTACTGTTTCAACTGAGATCGGTAAAGTATGAACATGGAATTCCAATAAAATGGCTTTCAGTATCAATGGTTTTTTATCTACGCAAGAGTTGCGTAAGGACAGGAGACTGATAGAGCAAACGAATGAGGACTGAAAACCCACTTTAAATCAAAGCTCACATAATGAAAGACAGGTTGCTAACTATTGGTGATGAGAAATAAGCTTATTATACTCTCCTCGATTGTTACCAATTATTTATGAAAAAAATTCTCGAATTTATACTACTATACGGTCCTGAACGCACTTTTAGTTTTTCTCTGTAAATAACCCTGACTGTAAATACACCGACAACATTGCAATGAGGTTGTAAATTCCCCAGACGATTAAATCAGAATAGACTTAGAGAGGTCTAGTGGGAAGAGGGAAATTGAGACGTATTCAACGTCAAACCCCCACAGCAATAAACATGAATGGCTATTGTGTCAAGCTGATAACCCATTCTCACCCTTTGTCCACCTCCCTATATTGCCACAATTATGGACCTTTATGACTTGTACCTTTCTAGCATTGCTTTTAAGATGCTCTCTAATGTATCCAAACTTATACCACACTTCCTGAAAGACAAAATATTAAATCCGTTTAACAAGGTGATCGATATCGCCACGCAAATTGGTGCAAATTAGACGTATTCTTGTAACACATTGAGAAGTGGCAGCATGCTATACGAGCCTAAATCTTTTATCATTTATTTGCCCTAACACACTATTCTTCCTTCAACTTTGTAACAAAGCCAGGCTGTTGGTATTGTGGTCACACCGTTTTTAAAATTGTAGACTTCAAAATAATCTAATTCAAGAAAGGTCAATCCAGGTGTGCTCAATTCGTGGTGGCCTAGTGTGCCCTAGCATGGAGAATAAATTTAAACCATAACATTAACGCCTCTATATACCACAGAGGGAGATTCAAAGCGTGGGAAAAAATTGCAACTACTTGTGCTCAAATTATACCGACTACCTTATGTTAACACTTTGGCTATATATGTATATCCTCCTACCCACCTCGTTTATTAAATGTGCATCTTAGCCGTTCCTTTAATGAACTGAAACTGAAAATAGCAGAACAAATTATGCTTCACTTAAAACTCAATTCCACTCCAATTTCAAGTAAGTTATGCTCAGTTCCTAAACTCAGTCCATATAGTCAATTTTAAGAAGTGCAAGACAACAATTTCTGAAAAACACGCTACTGTTAATTTACCAGTAGATTATATATGCCCAGTATTGTAGTGGCGAAGGCATTAAATACAAAGAGGAAACAAAATAAGATTATTTCAATTTAGTAATATCTAACAAATTAATATTTACAATGATACAGAGATTAGAAATCTTATTTTCTGAAAAGTTTGAACAGCGGATGTCTCTCTCTAGCCGCTTTTTGACGTTTAGCAGCAGCCGAGGTGTCCATGTAGATGGCATCATCTGCGCCAGAGAGAGAGGACATCTTACCAGCACGCCGAACGAAATGCGAATCTTTCATTTTCTTCAATGTATAATCCAGAGAATCGGGATCAACTGGCAGAGCCTCTTCCATAGCATCCTCATCTTTGCTGGCCAAAACGCGATGAAGGAGTTCAGCTTGTTCTGATTTGGTATTTAAGCCTAAGGTCTCCTTTTCAATACCCGGCAGGTTCCGCACAACCTAGAGGAGATTAAACAGAAAAAGTCAATAACGACCGATAATCCAGAAGGGATACTGAAAACCGTATCGAACCTATTTTTATCTATTTTTGCCAATTATAGGAAGAAGTCAGTAAGTTAAGGGTTATTTAGACCGATATTAAGATCAAAAATACTTAAAAACGAATATTAAAACAGCAGAAAGTGCCCCGATGGAACAATGTTGCATGAATGTAAAGAATAAATACATGGTCAAGTCTTCATAGTGGATTGTGAGGGACTCACCTTGTAAGCATATCCTTGATTAACGAGGAACCGCTGTCGCCTTGAAGCGAAAGGCATTTCCACTGTATCCTGGGAGACCAGCGAGTAGAAAAAGGCATTGTACTCGTCGCTAGCCATTCCACGCTTGGCCCGAAGAATACGACCTAAACGCTGAGCCTCCTGACGTCGACTACCACCTTGCATACTGATCTGGATGAGTACCGTGGCCTCGGGAAGATCAAATGAGTTGTCTGCAACCTTTGATACGAATATAGTCGATACCTGAAAGAGAATAGAAAATGAGATTATACTTGCTGACGCTTGAGAAAGTTCAGTGGAATTGGAAGACCCAAATATCAACTTACATTAGGGTTGAATTGGAAGTTCTGAAGAATCTGCATACGCTCACTTTGACTTGTAGGACCGTAGATGTAGGGACGACTCAACTTTTTGGCATAATATTGCAGAGCAAAGACATTGTCCGAGAAGACAATAATTTTATCGTTTCGAGTTTCGTGGTACTTGATGAGGAATTCACAAGCTCGGAATTTGTTGGGATTCATCACAGCCAGTAATTCCCTCTTTCGACCTTTCATCTAAATGACGGGGTAAGCGAAATGTTGAGACAAACGATTCTTTGAAGAATTTGTTGCAATTAGGTCGAAGGATCAGTTTTTAAGTGTCATACATTCAGATTAAAATTCTCCACAGAGACTAGAATAACGCCCTTGAGACTAGTTGTTCGCCGATGGTTTAGTGAGTCAACGAAATGGCATGAATTCATAACATTAAAAATTTCATAAAATTTATAAAGTGAAGAAGCGGCTGCTCTGGTGATCAGATGAAGTGGGGGATCCACCAAACTCATGCACTCTTCTATCATCCCTACTCCTTGAAATTGATATATGTTTTCCCGGGGTGTGCGATAGACTTACCTCCACGTGGTGCACCCTGAGCAACGTATACTCATGCGGCAAAAAAGTCTATTAATCGGCAGTTGACTTCTCACTTCAAACAACCATCACCCCCACCGTATGTCATATTCGACCCCTACCACTACTCATCTTACCCTTTCTAAGCCTTTGTGTCTGTTTCTTTTACATCTTTGAAACACCCTTCTATTCCCCCTCCTGAATTCTTCTCACTTTGATGTTCCTCCTCCCCTCTGTGAAGCCCGAAGTCAACTAAAGGGCTAATGATAACTATCAAAACGCCTGCCATTTGTTATAAATAAATAAATAATATATGTTTTCCCTCCAATGTGCATACGTGTTTCCTAATGAATGAAAGGGCTTTGACTTTGATATTGAAATGGTTTGACTATAGCTAACTACTTAAATAGTGTATAAACATGACTAAGTATACAGTGCAGCAAGCATGCGTGCTAGCATCAATCCTTTTAAACGGGAAAAAAGTCAACGCTCAAAACTGCTACAATCTAAGCTATATTACCCTTAAAATTATTACTATTTTTTCCCAAATACACGCACTCAAATACTAAATCTTCCTTTGAATTATCAGATTCCAAG